AAAAAAATAAATGAAAAAAATAAAAAACAAAAAACAAAAACAAATACTAGTGTATTCTCTTCCATTCTTATTTCAACGAGCATTTTTAAAATCAGAATTTACACAACACACACTTTCGGCATCCTGCATTTATTCCCCACTTAAGCCACATAATTAAGGGCTAAATTGTTTGGGATTTTTTTTATTTTTTAGAGACAGGGTCTCACTCTGTCCCCCAGGCTGGAATGCAGTGGCGAGATTACTGTTCACTGGAGCCTTGATCTCCCAGGCTCAAACTAACCTCCCAGCTTAGCCTCCCAAGTAGCTGGGACTACAGGTGTGCGCACCACCATGTCCTGGCTAATTTTTTTCTTCTTCTTCTTTTTAGTAGAGACAAGGTCTCCCTGGGTAACCCCAGGCTGATCTCCAACTCCTGGGCTCAAGCGATCCTCCTGTCTTGGCCTCCCAAAATGTTGGGATTACAGGCGTGAGCCATACCGCCCAGCCTAAAATTGTTAATGGCCATATAAAACCGTATAAATAGTTTCTAATTTAATCATTTCCATTCTGTTAGGACATTGCTTCTGATATTTTACGATTTATTATTAAAAATGCTGTGATTAACATTCTTGCACACTCTGTGTCTGCATTTGATTATTACCTTAAAACAGACTTATTGGGTCATAGAACATAAATGTTTCCATCCTTGAAGGACACTGTCAGGTGGCTTTTAAGATAAAGCTTCATTTGTTAAAAATTCTAAATGCATTTTTAAATGACTATGCAAGAAAGTTCATTAAAATATACTTCTGAAGCATACTTTACATAGAAGACTTATAATAGGCTTTACTACTTTGCTATCACTCAATGTAGCTTTAAGTGTTTTAGTATTACTAATGAAAGAAAAATGTCTAATTTAGTTTAACTAATTTGATTATCTCATTGAATTTTTTTTAAATGCTTAATCAATTTTTAAATTTAAAAAACCAGTTAAGCCGGGTGTGGTAGCTCACTCCTGTAATCCCAGCACTTTGGGAGACCAAGGTGGGCGAATCACCTGAGGTCAGGAGCTCAAGATCATCCTGGCCAACATGGTGAAACCTGCCTGGCCAATATGGTGAAACCCCATCTCTATTAAAAATACAAAACTTAGCTAGGTGGAGTGGCGGGTACCTGTAATCCCCGCTACTTGGGAGGCTGAGGCAGGAGAATCACTTTAGCTCAAGAGCCGGAGGCTGCAGTGAGCCAAGATCACGCCATTACACTCCAGCCCGGGCAACAAGAGCAAAACTCCATCGAAAACAAAAACAAAAACAATGGTACAGAAAAACCAAGTAAATTTCCAACGCAATGACTAAAAGGGCTCTCAGAAGTTATTTAGCCTAGAAGACATACCCTAGTGGCTTTTCTGACACTTAGCTGCCCTGTCACAGAGGAATGATTAAGGGCATTGCAGTTAGATACCTGGTAACAAATTACAACCTCTCTGAGGAGAGATTAACTACTTTTCTCTTCCATGAAAGAAAAAGGCACATCAATCTTGAATAATTATCATTCCATATCAGATTATGGAATGCCTGGCATAAAGTGGGCACTCAAAATTGCTTTCTTTTTCCAAATTAGAGGAGTCTCTTAAATCACAAGACACCCCCTTTTCATTTCTTGATTATAGTTTCAAATTGCTAACAAGGAATATTTTTTGTTTTCCAGACTAGGTCTTGCTCTGTTGCCCAGGCTAGAGTGCAGTAACACATCACAGCTCACTGCAACCTTGAACTCTTGGGCTCAAGCAATTCTCCCACCTAAATCTCCTGAGTAGCTAGGACTACAGGCACAAGCCATCAAGCCTGGTTTTTTGTTTTTTTTTTTTTTTTTTTTTTTTTTTTTTTTTTTTTTTTTTAGGATTTTCTTCACTGTGATCATTTCAGTACTGCTCCTGGTTCAATTTCTGTAGCTCGGTGCTGATAAGGCGCCACTCGCCTAGTTTTTTTTTTAGTAGAGAGGGTTCACGGTAGCAGATGGTCTCGATCTCCTATTTGATCGCCGTCCCTCCAAGTGCTGGATTACTTGAGCAGGCCTGTTTTTTCTTTTTTTTGAGACAGAGTCTCACTCTGTCGCCCAGGCTGGTACAGGGGCACGATCCAGGCTCACTGCAACATCTGCCTCCCAGGTTCAAGCAATTCTTCTGCCTCAGCCTCCCAAGTAGCTTGGACTACAGGCCCGGCTAATTTTTGTATTGTTAGTAGAGATGGGATTTTACCATATTGGCTAAGCTGGTCTCAAACTTCTGACCTCATGATTTACCCGCCTCAGCCTCTCAAAGTGCTGGGATTACAGGCATGAGCCACTGCGCCCGGCCTGGCTTTTTTTTTTTTTTTTTTTTTTGGCAAGACAAGGTCTCGCTATGTTGCCCAGACTGGTCTCAAACTCCTGGGTTCAAGGCATCCTCCTCCCTTGGCCTCCCAAAGTGCTGGGATTACAGGTATAAACCGATGTGCCCCACCCAACAAGGTATTTTTAAACATGAAGCAAAAAAACTTAAGATATCACAAATACGGAAGGGTAGGAAATGTGAACATACACTTCAGTGGCTGGAATTGAAAGTATCAGTGTACTCACCCTGAATCTAACCACAAGAAAACACTGGAAATTCAAACTGAGGGACACTAAATACCTCGCCTAATCTCTTAAAAAATGTCAAGAAATTTGAGGCTAGGACGGACATGGTGGCTCAGGCCTATAATCCCAGCTACTTGGGAGGCTAAAGCAGGAGGATCACTTGAGTCTGGGAGGTCAAAGCTACAGTGAGCCAAATTCATGTAGTACTCCAGCCTGGGTGACAAAGTGAGACCCTGTCTCAAAATATAAATACATAAAGAAATGTGAGGCCAGGTGCTGTGGCTCACACCTGTAATCTTAACACTTCGGGAGGCCAAGGCAGGAGGATCCCTTGATCTCAGGAGTTGGAGACCAGCCTGGATAATACAGTGACGCTCTGTCTCTACAAAAAAACATAACATTAGCCAGGCATGGTAGCACGCACCTGTGGTCCCAGCTATTAGGGAGGCTGATGTGAAAAGATTGCCTGGGTCTGGGAGGTGGAAGCTGCAGTGAACCATGATCACACCACTGCACTCCAGGCTGGGTAACACAGTGAGACCCAGTCTCCAAAAAAAAAAAAATTAATTAAAAAAACAATTTGACTAACTGTTCCAGATTAAAAGAGACCGGAGAGACATAAAATGCAATGTATGATCTTTGATTTTAAAAAGCTCTGAAAGTAATTATTAAGATAATTGACAAAATTTGATTGTGGACTGTAAATTAGATAACATATTAATGTTAAATTCCTAATTTTGATCATTGTAACTGCAGTTAAGAGAATACCCTAGTTCTCAGAAAAAAAAGTCTGGTGATATCCCAGATCTAATTCTGCTCTGTGGAACAACTCATTACAGCCCTGCATTACCTGAAAACAACTGTCCCCTTCCCTCCTTCACTCATTCCTATAAAGTCTTCCTTCTCCACAGAAAGCACTCTCAATTCCTTCAAAGGTTTTCATGGTTATCCTCCTGACATATCTATCTTTTCATTTACTTTTCTTAAAGTGTAGCTTTCAGAAATAAGGCCAACATTGTAAATGTGTCCTAACCAACATGGAATAAATATTATATCCCTTATTATGGACAAAATCCTATTAATGAAGCCTGGTAGTTCTTTATTTTTTTCTTTTTTAAGCAACTCACCAGTTGGATGTCTGAGACCATATAAACTCAAACTCAAAAATATACAATCAATAAACCCTATTTATTCTATCTCCAAAATGTCTCAAAAAAAAAAAAAAAACTATCTACCCTTTCTGCTTTATTGTTATTGCTCCAGCTCAGGCCATCATCATTCTATTTAAACAACTGTAGTAGCCTAATTAATCTCTCATTCTAATCTACTCTTTATTTGCCCACAAATACATCTGTCTTCATAAACACTGACCTAAATCTGATTTTTCAGTACCTTAATGAAGAATTGGGAGGGAAAGAAAGGAGATGACTTTCTCTCCTCTTCAATTCCTAGAAAACTCTTATTCCTCAAAGGCTAATTCAATGATCCATCAGAATTAACTGCTCTCTCCTTTGCTCCCATAATGCTTAATAATTCTATCATAAAATCACAATGTATAGTTTGATATATCTATATTCCCTATTCAATTATAGGCTCCTTGAAGGAATAAAGCAATACATTTTTTATTCTCTTAGTACATACAATGCCTTAACATTGATTAATTGAACAAAATTTTAGTCATATAACTTTTTCTATCTGAATTCCATATTTTTTTAATTCCACACTTTTAAGCAGCTCACACTATAGGTTTCTGCCTGTAGTTTCAGACAGAACTTGCAAGTTGTTTTAGTTATCCTTGCCAGCTAAATTGTTCTGACATTTTATAAGCACAACTGTACATGTATTCAAAACATTAATGAAAATATTAAAATGGACAAAATACTTCTTTAGATACTTTAGATACTTCTCTCAAAGTCTGACATTAATTCCTGCTAACAGTATTTAAGAAAGTTTATTTTACACTATTAATGAAATGTTCTTAATGCTGATAAGCTAAGCCTGTATTTCTCTGCCTCTTTTCCAAGGCATACCTAGGAAAACAATCTCCAAAACTACTGCTTTCCTTTTTAAAAATAAGACTTTACGCTGTTCCTAGTCTTCTGGCATACTTTGTGTAACAACAAATTAACAAAAGCTATCAATATCTCTTAGTTCCTTAATGTCTTTAAAATGATCTAAAACCTGTGCCATCAGCCAGACAGAAAATGGATTCCTGGAATCCAATCAAGTGGTGAAGTAATCTGGGTGAGGTTTACAAAACTTGATCTGGCAATAGAGTTAAAAAGCAATTACAAAAAAATTACAAAAGGTCTTAAACTTCAATTCAGAAGAAACCAACATCAACTTAGCGTTCCACTGTTACCATACCGACAATTTTTACTAACGGTTCATTATGTCCATCTGTGACATAAGAAAAACCACCTAGACAAAGGCAGATTCCAAGGCCAATGTCAGGCTGATAAACAGCCTGTCAAGAGATGGTAACTGAACTGTGGACATAAAGTATGTCACAGGAATCTCAACTTGCTTAAGACAGCAAAACTATTCCCGTACGTAAGTGACTGCCCAACCTCCATGGTTAATTAGAATATTGAAATTAAGTATATCAAACTCATGATACTAATACTGTGTGGTTTAAAACTATCCTAAATATTTTTTAAGTTCTTATAATGTTGAAGACAATTTTAACATTATAGATGATGATAGTTTCTAAATTTAAAATAGAAACGGACTTCACACTTATGATTTTAAGTTTAAAAGTGTAAGAATATTTAGCATGGTTAGTAAGAATATTGGAATGTTTAAGAAAATTTGTGATTCACTATAAGTCTCATTTATTAAATTTAAAATTTTAATATTTACCAATTATAACTCAATAAAGCTAGAGAAAATATAAAATTTTAAAGTTTTAAAGTATTTGAGAAGCCGGGTGTGGTGGCTCATACCTGTAATCCCAGCACTTTGGGAGGCCGAGGCGGGCAGATCACCTAACGTCAGAGTTCGAGACCAGCCTGGCCAACATGGCAAAACCCAGTCTCTAACAAGATACAAAAATCAGCTGGGTGTGGTGGCTCATGCCTATAATCTCAGCTACTCGAGAGGCTGAGGCAGGAAAATCACTTGAACCCAGGAGGCAGAGGTTGCAGTAAGCCGAGATTGTACCACTACACTCCAGCCTGGGAGACACAGTAAGACTCCATCTCAAAAACAAAGTATTTGGGAAAATCCTACTTGTTGAAATTTACTCCACAAGGAATAGTGCTTAAAAATAAAACAGTATATCAAATGTATAAATACAGGGAATGTACTTAAGCAGCAGTAGTACTGGTAATAGCTAACATTCACACTGCAATGTTCCTAGGGCTCACAACCTTGTTCCAACACTTTACTGTATAAATTCATGCATTCTGGCATGTTGGCTCATGCCTGTAATCCCAGCACTTTGGGAGGCCAAAGCGGACAGATCACTTGAGGTCAGGAGTTTAAGACTAGCCTGTTTACCAACATGGTGAAACCCTGCCTCTACTAATAATATAAAAATTAGCCAGGTGTGGCAGTGCATGCTTGTAATCCCAGCTACTTGGGAAGCTGAGGTGGGAAGATCGCTTAAACCCAGGAGGCAGAGGTTGCAGTGAGCCAAGATCGTGCCACTGCACTCCAGCCTGGGCGACACAGAGCCAGACTCCACCTCAAAAAATAATAACAATATAAATACTTATATGGACTAAACGTGTGTGCGTCCCCATTCATGTGTTGAAATCAGTCTCAAAAAAAACAATAAACAAATAAATTCATTCATTCAGCAAGTATTCACTGACCATCTACCATGAACTAGGCATCATTCCAAGCTCTAATAACTGCAGCAGAAAAAACATAATCCCATCCTTCATGGATCTTATATTCTTAGAAGAGACAAACAAATATCAGGTATGATCACTACTATTAAGAAAAACCAGGGAAAGTGAAGGAAGAAGATACTATTTTAGGTAGTATAATGAAGTTCACACCAATGAGCACCATTCACATTGAAGTCTGTGTAAATGATGTCCCTTAAAAACTCCCTCAGGGAAAACCTTTCTAGCTGAGGTAACATTTGAATCAAAGAAGGAAGGGAACAGGCCATGAAAATATTTGAGAAGAGTATTCCAGGAAAAGAAAAGAAGTATAGATGCCATTTTACCCAAGGATATTTTAAGGGAGACTTAATCTGTTCAATTATAATTACTAGGCTATTAATCAAAGTCCTCCCTCACTCAGAAAAAGTATTCTTCGTTTATAGTTAATGTGCTAGTTAATGGAATAAGAAAATATATAAGTTGAACTTGAAGACAAGTTTTTACATTGATGATTTTAATTACTCAATATTTTAGAAAAGCAAACATTGTAAACAGCTCTACAACCAAAAGCAGCCACTGACATCAATAAACTCAGACTGACACTTCATGGTTCTAAGTATTTTACTGGAATTGGAGCTCTAAATTTATTTAACGAAAGTAGATGCTCTTTATCATGTAACATACCAAGGAATAAAACTTCGTCTTTAAACAGCTTTTTCTTAACCGTCTCCCTTCCAGTATGAAAACCATTCTCCTACACATAAAACAGAAGTTGGGCATTTCTCATTATTTATCTCCCTAATCAAAAGGCTTCTTTCTTCCTTACTGATGTCGCTTTGAATTTGGCGGAAACTAGCCCTTTTTATTGCCCTTAAACATTTTTACAATCCCTCACCTCATTCCAGCTCTATCTAGCTTATATTCTTATATTCTATCTATTCTTTTATTACAGCTCTATCTAGCCTACCTACATTCCTAATTATCTTCCTTTTTTCCTACCCATTTCCTCTTCATACATTACACAGATTGTGAATGGTCTATTAAGTGAACGAAAGAATGTTTCCTAGCCCTAAACACTACTGTGCACATCACTTTAAATTCTATCAGTAAGTCAAATGATTTTTTAAATTAACCTTATATACAATTAGTTAAATGGGTATCTTTTTTTTTTTTTTTTTTTTTTGAGAGTCTCACTCTGTTGCCCAGACTGGAGTGCAATGGCGTGACTCAGCTCACTGCAACCTCCACCTACTGGGTTCAAGTGATTCTCCTGCCTCAGCCTCCAAGTAGCTGGGATTATATGCACCTGCCACCATGCCCGGCTAATTTTTGTATTTTTTTGTAGAGACACAGGGTTTTGCCATGTTGGCCAGGCTGGTCTTGAACTCCTGACCTCAGGGGATCCGCCCACCTCAGCCTCCGAAAGTGCTGGGATTACAGGCGTGAGCCGCTACACCCGGCTAATGGGTATCCTTGATATGTTTTTCTTTTGAAAAAATTTACTTATGAAGAAGTCATATTAATTTCTTTAGATTACTCATGTTTTTCTTCCCCAATGGAATTTTTTTTGAAATTTTAATAACAGGTTTCATTTTTAAGAGCCTTCTATCAATATTGATTGCTTAAACTATCTGTGGTCATCATCAGTTTCTTTTCTGAACTTTCTGAAACCTGCTTTTCTGGGAATTGCTATCTAAGATAAACTCCAAGACAGCATAGAATGATCACTACCCTTTGATTCCCATCATTTCCATTTCTAGCTGGGAGGCATGGAAAAGCATGGGCTTTGGAGTCAGATATTTGTCACTTACTAGCTGTATGACAAACTTCTCTGAGCCTCTGTTTCCACGTCAATAAACTAAAAAATAGCATTTACTGAGCATCTATTTTATATCAAGTACATTATATACTCTCTATATATGTAGAAAGTACCATATCTATTTATAATAAGGAAAACAAAGCTTAGAAATAAGTAACTTGCTTAAAATTACAGAGCTCATATGATCGCACCACTGCATTCCAGCCTGGGCGACAGAACAAGACCCTGTCTCAAAAAAAACAAAAAAAAAAAGTTACAGCGCTCATAAGTGCTAGAGCCAGGATTTAAATCAAAGTCTGATTCCAAGTCCATGTTCTTTTTACTACCCCACAAAAAAGTAACTATAAAAACAGTCCATTTGCTCAAAACAGATGTTCAATAACAGTTAATTCTATATCTAAGTGTTCTTCCTTGTTGGTAAGAATCAACTTCATACCAGCAATTCTCTTCAACTTTTAGGAGATTAAACTGCCAAAAAAACAAGAATTTATCAGAAGCTCTGATCATCTTTATTATTAGTCAATTATTTATTTAATCAAAACCAAAAACTGTATCAAACTATGCCAAATATATTCTTCAGATATTTCTGTGCTACCAAAAAAAAAGCTTTATGCACAACCATATCCGAAGTCAGCACACTGTGTGATTATTCATCCCCAGAGTTCTTAAAATACATACCTTGTAGACATAAAGCTCTTAAAAGAAAGTGTCATTCTTGAGAGGCATTCAGATCAAGACAACGGAAACACACAGTAGTTTGCCAGAATCCAAATAACCACCACAGACAAGAACTCTGAGGTTGTCAATATCATCATGGAACTATAGATATTAAGTTTCTCTTAATTATCTTCTCTTTCTCTTCTCTCCACTTCCTCTTCATACATTACATAGATTGTGAATGGTCCATTAAGTGAATGAAAGAACATTTCCTAGCCCTAAACACTACTGTTCACATCACTTTAAATCCTATCAATAAGTTAAACTGATGTAAGCAAACAGAAATTAAGAGCTAGAATAGCATTAAACTTTCTCAGTTTTCTTTTTTTTTCTTTTTCTTTTTTTTTTTTTTTAAGATGGAGTCTCGCTCCGTTGCCCAGGCTGGAGTGAAGTGGTGCAATCTCAGCTCACTGCAACCTCTGCCCCTCCGGGTGCAAGCGATTCTCCTGCCTCAGCCTCCAGAATAGCTGGGATTACAGGCGCCCACCACCACGCCTGGCTAATGTTTGTATTTTTAGTAGAGAGGTTTGTCCATGTTGGCCAGGCTGGTCTTGAACTCCTGACCTCAGGTGATCCACCCACCTCAGCCTCCCAAAAACCTACTATTACAGGCGTGAGCCACTGCGCCCCGGCCTCTCAGTTTCTTAAAAGTTTAGAAAGGTTTATAGATTACAGTTTATAGGTAGGTTTTATTACTAAGAACTGCTAAAATGCACCAGCTGATTAAAAAAAAAAAAAAGAAAAAAAACTGTAATAGGCTGAAGGTGGGAATGACTTAAAACAGGTAAAAGAGATCATTTTGGTGTGACAGAAATGTTCTAAAACTGGATTGAGGTAATAGTTGCATGGTACTGTAATTTTACTAAAAAGCACTGAACTGTGCACTTAAAAAGAATATGATTAAGAAATTCCCCCAAAAAACCTATTAATACAATAAATATTGTGACCCCACCCCAAATTACTCCCTTGAAATTAACACCAGTATTTAGGTCTATTATCAGGCAAATCTCCATGTTTTACTTCAATCAAACTCCAAAGTATAATTTTAGTACATGGGGGCCTCCAGATACTGAATTGCATTGTTGTCCTTCTCTAATAAACCAATACAATTCTAGAACATAACAGCATGCAAAAAATTTTTTTTTCTTTTTTTTTTTTGGGACAGAGTCTGCTCTGT